CCCTGAGTATAAATCCCTCTGCCAATTGGGTGTAACACTTCACACATCTGCTGAAGTGGACTCTGGCTGCCAAAAACTTATGCCACAGTAAACGTCTTAGTCTTTAAGGTGTCGCAAGACTCTTTTTGGCCGCAATATCCTTACATGGCCACCCCTCTGGAATTTGCCTTGCAAAGTGGTCAGTTTCTGACTGGGCTCCTGACAGGGCCTAACTACATATTACACAATCCTTGTATAATGTCTGGGTCTGCCATGATGACTTTCAGTCATTTGTAACTTGTGAGGTCCCCACTGAGAACTCAGTTTCCAGGTCCATGGGACCTCAATTTGTATTGAGACACTTAGGGAGTGGGTGCTCAGGTCTTCCTCCCCTCATTTTTTCTGAACTGAAAGCCCAAAGATGATGCTATTTTCTTTGTTTGGGAAAGCTGTCTGTATCCCATCAGTGCACATGGAACCTCCAAAAGGGCAAATAGTCCCAAACGGTTCAGGCATAAGACCCTCTTCCCATGTGTCATAGTCCTGATTCAAATTTGGGGAACTCTAAAAGCTCATCTGATTGAAAGTCCTTGTGGCAGACTCAAGGACATTGTAACATGTGATCAGGCCCTCAGCTGGGATGGGGGAGGTCTAAAACCAAGAGCTCTGTGAACAGACTCCTCTGAGTGAGTGTCTGGAGATGGGAGCAATTATTCATGTTTGAGGAGGACCAGAATAGGACTGCATTTAACTCCTGCTCATATGAATAGACCCTACTGGACCAAGTGGTGCTCCAGAGACATGCATTTTTAATCCTAGAAGACAGGGGTCGTTTCGTAGAAAAAGAGCAAGGGGAACTCATTAGCATAACTCATTAGCATATGCCACACCCCCTGCCATCACCGGAAGTGTGTCATAAGGCCACACACCCCTGCCATCACCGGAAGTGTGTCATAAGGCCACACCCACCACTCAGTTAGTCTTAGTCTTAAAGGTTAGTCTTAAAGGTGCTATTTGTTAGTCTTAAAGGTGTGGGAGTGCGAGGAAGCCCCGCTAAGTCCCCCTGCCCCCAACGGTCCCGGCCGCTGCCAGCCTTGCAGCTCCACTGCCGAGCCCCATCAGGGGCCCGGCGGTGGCGAGGAAGCCCCGCGAAGGCCCTCCCTGGCTCCAGGCAGGCAGGGGTGGGGAGAGGCGGGGAGGAAGAAACTTACCCTCCCTTTTCTACTGCCTCCTCCTGGCTGAATGAGGGCCGGAAGCGGGGCGGCCGGAAGCAGGGGGCGGGGCTTTGTCATGTGCCCCGCCCCTCACCCGGGGGAACGGCGATCCCCCGCGATTCCCCCTGAATCGATCTCTGCTAGAAGATGCTTTAGAAAGATATCTCATGACTTCTTAAGGGGACCTCAGTGGCCCTGCTTCAGGATCAGGCCAGCATATACTGGTGAAACTTCACTTTAGCAGGCCGATACAATGATCAATAAGCTAAATACTGTAGAAGGGTATTGTGGAAATTTCTGATAGTCAATATAATTTACATCTGCATTCCAAAACAATTTTAAAAAATCATTTGGTCCCATTCTAATGATTGAGTGCATCAGTGTAGATTATACCTTCTCATAAGTGCATAAGTGCATAACTTGGCTGGGGAGCAGATTTGTATACACAAATTTAAGGTCATGGAGCTGACTTGCTGTTCTGATGAATGGAGAGCTCCACTACCATTCAAGCTTCACATTTTCATATTTCAATTAAATTAGCAGTTGTAAATGGAAGGAAAATACCCATTGCAGGCAAATGGATTACTGAACCTTTAAATATCCAGGAAAGAGAATATCAAAAAAGCCAAAGTCCTCAAATCA